GGGGGGAGGAGGGGACGGGTATATGCATACACGAAGAGTGCAACGCGCACCGTCCGAGGGATGGACACACTTGATACTGGGACTTGGGTGGGGAGAGGGGGCAAGGGCAACATACATAACCTAAACATTTGTACCCCCCTAATATGCTGAAATTAAAAAAAAAAACTAAAAAAAAAAGAAAAAAAGGAACATTAATCAGAAAAAAAAAAAAAAAAACAGAAAAATTAGCCAGATGTGGTGGTACAGCTACGTGGGAGGTTGAGGCAGGAGGATCGCTTGATCCCAGGAGTTAGAGGTTCTAGTGAGCTACGATGACGCTACTGCAGTCTACCTGGACAACAGAGCAAGACTCAGTCTCCAATTAAAAAAGAAAAAAAGGCTATCATTTTAATGAATGAACATTTATGCTCCCAAAACAACAAACAAAAGTGTGGACATGATTTGCTTTGGTCTAAAGAATGGTTTAAAATCTGGAAATGTAGTACATAGAAGATGTTGAATTGAGGCTAGTTTTAGAAATAAGAATCCTATCTTAAAATGTATTATTTCAGTAATGATAAAATTGTTAAACACTTTTAAAAGTTAACCTCCTCCCAAGTTGGCCAGTATGATGCTCAAACTATAAATCTTCATTTCAACTTAATTCCAATACTGGAAGAATAAGACTTCTCTTTTCCTGCTGTAGAGTTTTCTCAAAAAGTTATTCATACACACAAAGAATAAAAAATAGCTTAATAGATTGATGTGAGGATGCTTAAGAGTGAGATAGGCTGCCAGACGAGTGGAAGGAAATGCTTAAGTGAGTGAGAGAAAAAATAGGAGAGAAGCAGATGATCTGTGACACAAATTCAGGGTAATATCTAGATATAAGCAAATTATATAGTAATGCAAATATTTATTTTCAGCTTACATTTGGCAAAAGACAGTCCAAATTCCAACTTTCATTAATGAAACCACACAAAATACCATCTTAGAGAAATTGTCTCCAAAATTCACACTTTATATTCTGGTTTCGTTGTATGTGACTTCCAAATCTTTAAGGGCATGTATCAGCACTTTTGCAGTTTACAAAAGGAAAGCACTCAAAGACATAATAAAAGTTGATTATGCCTGGATAAAGTGAACCACCTTTTTCTTTAGACGTTGAGTTTTGCTGTCAGTGTTAAAATTAAGATCAAGATTATATACAAAAACACTATCAAGTAAGTACTATGTGTTGGAAGATAGAAACTTCAAAACAATGACATGACCATCGTTCAATGCCGTGCACACATCAAGTTGCACATTAGACAGAAAAATGGCTAACGTCCATAGGCATTAATCAACCAGAATGTCAGGACCATAGGGATTAAATTCTGGCTTAACTGAGTAATTTGGTCTTTTTTGAATGTACCCTTGTTAGCCAAAGATTATTTTTCAATGTTCAGCTCTTTATATATCCTATCCTGGATAAGATCTTTAGTTTTTCTGATGAAAGTCTTCAGTTTTAGGCACTCCCTAAATAAGAATAATAACAGAACTTCTGTAACATTAGCAAAAATGGACCACACTTACCTCCCCATCCAATATTTCTATATGATGTCATTTACATACATGTTTATATAGTCAAAGATTAGTATATGATCCTAATTAACAATGAAATTTAGCAATTCCTATAAAACTTTCAGTCTTTGATATTTTATAAAGTATTAAAGAATCAAAAATATTCAATTAATGTGCCAGACAAGTAAATTTGTTTTAAGGTCTTTTAAGATAAACTCCTTGAATAAAAGAACCAGGTTCACTCATCTTTCTATACCCAGAGACTATGTCTAGTGTATTGGCAAGGTCATGTAACTCGATAGTTAGTATAATTTTAAAGGTGCCCCAGGTCATATTTTACACAAAAGTGCTCAACAGCCATTGATAAATTGAAGGTATTAATTTGCAACAAATGATCAATAAAAGTCTTGAAAAAATGAATACAGCAGTTAAAATACTCATTCAAGAACGACACACACAGTATAAGACCTTTTTTAGAAAATTTTAAAGCTCCCACAACAAGACAATAAGTTTTCAGAACCAAGCATGCAGTGGAATGGTGAATATTAATTTTATGTTGATGGTTACCTCTAGGCAGGGAGTAAGGGCAGTAGGATCATGGAGGCATACGAAAGAGCTTATTTGGATCTAAAACAAATGTTACCATTTTAGTTTTGATAGAGCAGGATGGATATGTGTGCTCATTATTTTCTCTTCATGTTTGCACATTTACAATTATTTTTAACAAAGAAAGGAGAACACCAGAACTTTGCAGAAGCAATCAATAGTGAGTGTACTGATGCAGCAGCAGCACTTACCAGCTAATCATCTGTTTATAAACACAATTCATATGAAGATCAATGATCGACAGATCAATGATCTATGCATCCTTTATAATTTCAATATACAGTTGTATACTTTCTCAGATTTTTAATGAAATGCATTTCCATTTTTAAGAAATGAGAACTAAATTACAAAACAGTATTTAAAGATAAAACTGTAATGATCCCATCTATTTCATTTGATCTAATTTACAAATGAGTACAATTTTTTCCCCACTTGTATTTAATTCCATGAGCCAGGTTCCTTTCACCTGAAAGGAACCCAAATGGCATGTGTTGGTTTAATCTCAAAATTTTCAAAGTATATTCTCATTAACAATAGTGATAGGAGTTTACCCTCGAAAAAGAATTCTCAGGTCAAATAAGACAGGAACCTACTATAATGCCTCCTATAGTAACAATGCATGCCAGCATGTTAAAAGCCTGAGACATTCCAGAGGAAAGAGAACCCCAAGTTTCCCCACGTCATTTGAACCCAGGATCCTTTCTCTGTAACATCTATGTCTTCTTTCTAGAACATGTGTACTGAGGAGAATATTTGAATTAATCTATATTCATGTCCATTCTGGAATAATTCAGTTTCTGAGAATGCCATATTGAAATGGTCCTTAATGGTCCATCTTTTCATAGTACATATGCTGTACTTACAGCCCCCAAAACTTTGTTGACTTGTCTCTTTTACTCACTCATTAGTGCTACATTTTTTAACCTCAGGAAATCTATTCAAAAAGGTATTGGCAAGGTCATGTAACTCGATGGTTAGTATAATTTTAAAGGTGCCCCAGGTCATATTTTGCAAAAGTGAAAGCAACAAGGCTTTATTTTTACTGATAAAGTATTTAAAATATTTTTATCTTATCCCTAAATTAGAGTATGACTAATTTATTGACTGAAAAATTCACTTGACTAAGCATTAACGAGAAAATGTTTTGACTCTTGGTGCTAAAAAAGATCCTATTTCAGTTTGTTTTAAGACTAAAACTGATTTTTTCAATTTTATCAACTGAAATTTGGCTGAAAGTGTCCTAATCCAAGTCATCCATTACAATTTGTACATAGACACACAGCCTTAATATTGTTTTCCTATGGTCTCTCCCCTTAAAAATAAACTACTGAAAAATCAATACGGCAGACTCCAGTAAATTGAGATTTTACGGCATATTGTTTGGTAAGAGTAACCACATATTTTCAACAAAAATTTTAAATCACCCTTTGAAAGATATCATCTTTAAAGTGAATATGAATTAAAATAAAATGCATTAACAATAATCCATTTATTTGAGGAAATGTGTATTAGAAGAAAATTGCTTTGTATTTCCTGGTTGGGTCAAAACTGCTCGACCAACCTTTTACCTTAATTATTGACTGTATTTTAATATGGCGAGCAGAAAAGACCTGGTAGTAAAAGTCACAATAATTTTGTTTATTACAGCAAGTATTTTCATGGCATTTGACCGAACTCAGAACTATTTCTTTAAAATGGGTTTAAATTTGTGAAACTAAGCCAGCTGGGAAGAAGTCTTTATTTTAAAAAGAAAAAGAAATCAAACAACCAAAAGATACATTTCATATAACAGCAAATATAAAAATAGAAGCCAAGTGACAGAATGGAAAAGCAATGATTTAAGAAATTTTGATTCTACCCCTCTGACTTATTGTGAATTGTCCTTTTTGTCTTTCCATTGTTACATATGTAATATAGGTATAATAATAATTTGAGATAGCCTTGCAAAACTTACTAGGTTAAAAGGAATTATTGAAAAAGTGTTCAAATACTTTATAAATACATTAACAAAAATATTCATTTTATTATACTTTTTGTCTTGCTTCAGTGAAGGTATCCTTTGAGATCAGACTTGGTTTCTTAATATTGTTTCAAATTCTCATCTAGAGATGATAGCTTTCATCCAAAGTGATACTCACAGTTTATCACAATATTTCTCATTAAGAAAGACAATACTGGAACCGTCCTACTTGAGGAAAAGAGAGAGAACTGCAGTTCAATTGGTAAAGTTGCTAAACTTAGTTCAGTCAAGTTATGGATTGTCCGATTTACATATTTTGTTACTCTACTTTTCAAGTATCATTCTGAAATCATATTCTACCTCAGGGTGAGATTTCTTATATAAATAGAAAGAATTTCATTTCTGTAAACATTTGCAGTGCTGTTTCTTTGAATAAATTTTTTTCCCCTTAACAGAGCTGCTCCAGTGAAGAATTCTTTCTTACATATCATATCATGTCCAAACCAAAAAAACTCAGTGTTTTCCTGTGAAAAGACGGAAATACTCAAGTAATGTAAAAGCCTTCTGTAATCAAGGGATCGCCTACCTATTACAAGCATGTAATCACTCCCTATAGATTCCTGATGAATTAAAAATGTCCTTCGGTTACTCATAGCTCATCAGATGTACTGTTAGCTTTTGCTAATTCACATTCTTCACTGGTTTGACAACTCTGAAGGATATCCTTGTAGTGGTTCTTCAGATCCTCATACAATGAAACAGTTTCTTGTGAGTGAGCCAAGGGTAACACCTTTTCATTTAATAACAACTGCACTCGGAATTCTTCTTCAGGAGTCTTAGCATTTTCACAATGGTAAAGCACAAATACTAGGTTCGAGGCATAAGGTACAATGTGACCACTTCGGAACTTCCGATGCATTTGTTCCTTATAATTGTAAGCTGTTAGGGGTTCCCTGTCTTTGAAGTAGCCCATGAGAGAAAGCAGTGGAAGAAGGGTCTCTGCATGACCAAACTGGAGGATGACTGGAGAAGAAACTGGCTGAGACCTTAAAAGAGAAATTCAGAAAAAAAAAAGTTTATATATATTTATGTCATAGAACATAATATCTACACTTAGAAGTAGTATCCAACTTCCCCATCCTTTTAAGTTTAAATAATCCCATCTTTTTTTACCTTTACATACTTAACTCAAGGATATAGCTGACATTCTATGTGGCAGAGAAATGAATTTTGTGTGTGTGTGTGTGTGTTTTTTAAGAGATGAGGTCTCACTCTATTGCCCAGGCTATAGTGCAGTGGTATGATCATAGCTCAGTGTATGAACTACAAACTCCTGGCCTCAAGCCATCCTCCTGCCTCAGCTTCCTGAGTAGGAGAACTGAACTTTTTATATTGAAAGTTAAGTTCCAAAATTCACAATCACCATAGTGTTGCAAATTCATATAACCCAATGTGCATATACATTATCCTTTAAGTTTAGAGAGTATGAGTTTTATAGATTAAGGAACCTGAAATGGGTGTGTATTTCAACACTGTACTACCTTTCTATGAATGAAACTGAGCAGACTGGCCCTTAGTAAACAGATTACTCCATGAAGCTCTTCTGTATAAAGTGTTATTATTTTATCTACATACATATTTATCTAGGGAATAAGAACAAGTAATATTCAGTAAAGGATCAAATGTGAACAGTAAATGGTAATTCATGTAATCCTTCAGTGGTTTACAAACTGATTTGGGCACTAAATTTGGATTAGAGGCACAAAATGGTAGCAATGTAACCTATTCTAGCTGATAAAATGTGTCTCTGGTTGGGAGTGGGAGTTTATGCAGTGCCAGAAACACAAACCATTTAATAACTGTGAGCTAAGCAGTCATCTTTTTTTCCTTTAAGTTCCTCTTCCCAACTTTTATTCAAAAAAGTGACTATTGTTTTTAAATATATTTTATAAACCTATTCAAACACAACTAACTGTCTGACTTTTAGCTACCACCCAACACATCAGGTTATAAATTGCATCTTATTTTCTAGGAGGACAAGAAGAAGCCATTTTGGACCTTCTTGATTCCCCACACAGAAACAGATGGAGCAACTAGACAGCAAATCCAAAAAGCCATGGGAAACATTTACAATGTAACTACATGGGAAAGTATTCTCTATGAACCACCAATAGCCTCAAGAACTGCATATTACCAGTATCTGTTGAAGAAAGCAGAGGAAAACCACAGAGCGTCTGAACAATCTGAGAACAGGAGATGAAAGTGGGGGGAGGAGAACACAGTCAAGAAATCTCAGCAAGTAACCCATCATATTTCTGTACAGTACACACACCAGAAAGGGAGGTTCTGTGAAATTAGAAAAACAATCTGACACAGCCTTCTAAACATTCAGGAAAACTGAATTTACATTAAAACGAACTACAGAAAAGTAAGTCAGAGAGAGAATAAGGACCAAAATAACATTCATACAAAAAAAAAAAAATACAAGTATACTAGAAATATATACTTGAACACCATTTCAAAATAAACCAGAAGACAATTATTTACTATTTTGAGATTAATGTTCTTTAAAAGGTATAAAACTTAAAAGCCATTAATCAACAGGAGATTCCAAGCTTCTCCTTATAAAAAGGTATACTTTAATTGGGTCATCTAAAGTACTTAAAAACCTATGTTTATTTCCAAGCAGCATCCTCTTAGGTCAAAAGTTACAAAGCAGTAGCACTCAGAACACAGCTATATTTAGTTTTATCTGCATAAGTAGTTTTAAATTTTGCATTATTTGTCAGTATTTAAGAATTGGGAGATTTAACATTCTTAAAAATCCAGATTTGGGGCTCTTCTTGGAAACCTGAAAGATCTGGCAACACAAGTGCATATATTTCCGTAAGACAATCATCTTAACAGGAATAAGGTTACCCTCTAGAGAAGGCATATATATACCTGTTGCATAGTACATTTATTATTCCACATTGTCTTAACACAGCATGAATTCATTCCATTACTTGCCTGCCCCTTTATACAAGTATATGCAAATCAAAGCTCATACCACTACCATCATTTAAATATAATGGAATTTAATAGAGACACAAGTTAAAAGAAAAACAAGTAATATACTAGTTTACATTTTTTTTTGAATTTTTTTTTTTATTTCAGCATATTATGGGGGTACAGATGTTTAGGTTACGTATGTTGCCCTTACCCCCCCTCTCCCCCCGAGTCTGAGTTTCAAGTGTGTCCATCCCTCGGATGGTGCTATACTAGTTTACGTTTTAAGTCTTTTAGCCATTAGGCAAAAACCTCAAAGCCAGGAATAACTCTAGGCTGAACATTCAGTTATTGCTGTCCACTAGATCTATCCATTGCCTCACAGAAAGAATATACTGTCAGTAACTCTTTCTCCCACTGACGAACTCCAATAAACTGGGGACAAGATATAATACAATATATCTAAAATATTATCATTTCAACATGTAATTTATATACAAATTATTGACGAACTTCTAATTCTTTTTTCTAGCAAGTGTTGGCGATGCAGTGTGTAATTTATACTTATAGATAAGTCTCAATTCCAACCAGCCCCCTTTCCAGTGCTGAATAACCAACCACATGTTGGACAGCACCGGACAGTGATATGAACAGTCTTACAAATTCAGATTTAAATACTGATCAAATACAGAGCAAATAAAAGATACAAGACAAATAACAAACACACATATGAAAAACGTTGGGGGAAGGAAGGAAAGAGACCAAAAAAGCTATGTACAAATTATAAGGTTCAAAGTTCTATTAATCACATCAAAGCTATAGAAGAAACTGAATCTCTTCTGTGGCCCAAATTTAAGTTTTAAACTTAAAGATTTCTTAGGTTTATATAAAAGCAGTAAACACTATTTTTTTTTCTTTTTACTGCCTATCAGTCATATGTCAAAATCAGCTATTTTTCAGAAGAAATTTGAGGAAAATTGTGCTTTAAAATGCTTACTGGGAGTTTTCTAGGAAATCAAATAAGTTTATATATTAGATTCACACAGAAAATTATATCATCAAAAATAAATTACTATCTTCTGCCATTTAATGAATCCAAATTTAAAATTCTATTTTAGAAATTCAGACAATTTTCAATAGGAAGAAACAGTGCCAATTTTTATAAATGCCATGAATATTACCTTCTTATATAGAGCAGTCTCTATTATAGAAACTAGCAACATATAAAATAAACAATATCTTAAAGGTCTGGTTAAATGCACCAATAATACAAGGATAACAGACTAAAAAACTAAAAACTACAGAGCCACCAAATGCAATTAGACCAAGATTTTGCTTAGAAATCCAAATGTGCCTATGGGAAATAATAAACAACTTCTAATTTTATTTTTGTACTTTACACATTACTACAAAAATCAAGTAAAAATATTTTAAGTTTGTGAGGTGATGCCAAATATAAAGGAGAGAAATGACTACAATGAACACAATTTCATTTGTAATTATTTTTTAGTTTTCTACTTTACCCTTTGTGCATTAAAGTATCTTGCACATAGTAGATGCTCCTGGAACTTAAGAAAAAAGGAGCTGGTTGATGTTCATACTCATAAAAAAAGGTACTGGACAAAATAGCTGCATTCAATTTTCCAAAAACATAATAAAGAAGAGACTTTTCAAAGATCCATTTGTTTAATTTGTTAGATGTGACATTCCCTATCTTTCCATGCCAAGTGCCAGCACCATGCTAGTTTTTTTTTTGGGGAAGGGGGGCATTGGCAGAGAAGGGCAGTAGTGTAAAAGAACAAAAAGACAAATAAAACACATTCCTGGCTCTTGCAAATTAGCATTTGTCAAAGTGTTAGGGGAACCCAGAGAAGGAGAGCAAATCCTTCCATCTGAGGAAAAATTGGATGGGCTTTCCTGAGGGGGTGGTGTTTGAACTGTGTCATGAATATATTCCTAGTAAGTCTTAAAATAGAAATGCTACCCATTGTAGCCTTAGCAAAGTGTAATAGATGGCTTACCCTATGATGGAGGTATTATCATACCCTTTTTAGAGATGAAAAAACTCTTGCCTAAGTTACCTTTGAACCACCAATTAATTAAACTAATGGGAGTAGTTTAATGTAAAAGAATAGCCTAGATCCCATCAAAAAATATTAACTGCTTCAGTCTGATTTAAAGTTCAATTTTTCAAAAGATTAGTTTTCTTAAAGCAGGACACACCTATAATTATTTAAAAATAAATTTTTGGCTTGAACTCCTGGCTCTAGATGCAACCTTACATCAGTCGAAGTCTTCAAAAAAAATTGAGCATCTGATAAAATAGGTAAGCACAGTGGAAGCGAGGAACATGACTCTGCAGCTTGAAAACCAGAGGGCGTACCTACTTCAGCCAAATTACTGAATTTCTCCCTTGGTTCCTGCAAAATGAAGATTAGTCACTTTCCTTGCAGAGTTGTTGGATTTGAGCCATAGCAATAAGTCAGTGCTTAGCACAGAGCAGTGTGATAGCAAACCACTACGGTAGCAGCAAGAGCCAGAGCAGTTGCAGCAGCAAAGTGCCCCAGGTCACACAAATTGGTGGTGTGCTGAGTTTAGAGCCCAGGAGTTGAGTTCAGGTCAGTTCTCTTTCTAAAATAACAGTACACAACACTTTACTCTAAAGGTAGACATAGTATCAAGTGACAAACTCATTTCACTGAATAGTATATTTTAAAACATCAGATATCCCAAAGTACCAAAGGTTTCAATACAAAACCAAAAATATAGGCAATACCATAAATCAAGTTTCAAGGATACAATTTACACCAAAAAAAATTTACTTGGAAAAATCTCAATGCCATTTTGTGTAAGAAAATACTTGTATATCTGAAGTAGAGCAAATACAGGAATTGAGTCACTTATGTTTACTTTCAAATCGTCACTGATTTAAAATCATTTAAAATCATATCAGTTTTTATTTGGGGAAAGAAACATAGTATTTTAACATACTGGCTGAAGAAGACTACATTATTAGTGCTTGGTAACAAGGTTCCTAGTATATGAATCTAAATTGGCC